TTCCGAAAAAGGAAAAATATAACATTTTTTTCTAAAGTTATGCAAAAATTCTAAATTTAACAGTTTCTGTGATTTCGCAAGTTTAGTTTTCGAATATCTCAAACTCTACTACAGTTCAAAAAAAAAATATATATAGAGAGAATAAAAAAATTTAAACGAAAACATTTTTTAATAAATTTTGTGTACACCGAAGTCGTTTTTTTCTAGTTATAAATTTTAGAAATTTGAAATTTTTTTGCAAACTCTAAATCAGCTAAATAAATTAAATTTGTGTTTAATTTAACTTCGGAAAGCAACTGTTAGCTCAGCTAGGTGTTGTCTTCTTCTTCTTTTTTGGCGCTGTAACCGCCTAAGCGATTTTGGCCGAGTTCAGCAAAGCACGCCAGTCGTGTCTCCTCTGTGCCAACTGACGCCAATTGGAAACGCCAAGTGAAGCCAAGTCCTTCTCCACCTGATCTTTCCATCGCAGTGGAGGCCTCCCTCTTCCTCTGCTACCACCAGCGGGTTCCGAGTTGAATACTTTCAGAGCTGGAGCGTCGGTGTCCATTCGAACGACATGACCAAGCCAGCGGAGCCGCTGTATTTTAATTCGCTGCACTATGTCCATATCGTTGTAAAGCTCATACAGCTCATCGTTCCATTGTCTGCGGTACTCGTCGTCGCCAACGCGTAAAGGACCGTAAATCTTCCGCAAAATCTTTCTCTCAAACACCCCAAGAGCCGCCTCATCGGATGTCATTGTCCATGCTTCTGCGCCATATACCAGCACGGGCATGATGAGTGACTTATAGAGCGTGGTTTTCGTACGTCGAGAGAGGACTTTACTCCTGAATTGCCTACTCAGTCCAAAGTAGCACTTGTTGGATTTCAATGCTGACATTATTATCGGTGTTAATGCTGGTTCCCAAGTAAACGAAATTCTCTACTTTCTCGAAATTGTAACTGTCAACAGTGACGTGGGTGCAAAGGCGCGAATGTGCTGACTGTTTGTTTGATGACAGGAGATACTTCGTCTTGTCCTCGTTTACCACCAGACCCATGCGCTTTGCTTCCCTATCCAACTTGGAAAAGGCAGAACAGACTTCGCGGTTTTTGTTACCGATGATGTCGATGTCATCGGCATAAGCCAGCAATTGCACGCTCTTGTAGTAAATTGTTCCTGAGGGGTTCAGTTCTGCAGCTCTTATTATCTTCTCCAAAATCAGATTAAAGAAGTCACATGAAAGGGAGTCGCCCTGTCTGAAACCCCGTTTTGTGGCGAACGGCTCGGAGAGGTCTTTTCCAATTCTGACGGAGCTGGTGGTATTGCTCAACGTCATTTTACACAGCCGTATGAGTTTTGAGGGGATGCCAAATTTAGACATAGCGGCGTATAGGCAACTCCTTTTAGTGCTGTCAAAAGCGGCTTTAAAGTCGACAAATAGGTGGTGAGTGTCGATCCTTTTCTCGCGGGTCTTTTCCAAGATTTGGCGTATTGTGAATACCTGGTCTATGGTGGATTTGCCAGGTCTAAAGCCACACTGATAAGGCCCAATCAGTTCATTGACGGTGGGCTTCAGTCTTTCACACAATACGCTCGATAAGACCTTGTAACCTATGCTTAGAAGGCTGATCCCGTGGTAGTTGGCGCGAATGGCGGGGTCACCTTTCTTGTGGATTGGGCAGAGCACACTTAAATTCCAGTCGTCGGGCATGCGTTCATCTGACCATATTCTGCACAAGAGTTGATGCATGCACCTTACCAACTCCTCGCCGCCGTACTTGAATAGCTCAGCTGGCAGGCTGTCAGCTCCAGCGGCTTTGTTGTTTTTCAGCCGCGTTATTGCTATACGTACCTCGTCATAGTCAGGCGGTGGAACGTCGACTCCGTCATCATCGACTGCGGGCTCGGCTTCTTCTTCTCCACAAATTTCCGTGTTGCTACCATTTAGTAGGGCGGAAAAGTGTTCCCTCCATATTTTAAGTACGCTCTGGACATCAGTTACTAGGTCGCCATTATTGTTCTTACAGGAGTGCGCCCCGGTCTTTAAACCTTCCGTAAGTCGCCTAACTCTCTGGTAAAATTTTCGGGCATTCCTCCTGTCGGCCAGCATTTCAAGCTCTTCGCACTCACGTATTTCTGCCTCTCTCTTCTTGTTGCGGCAAATACGTCTCGCTTCCCTCTTCAGATCCCTATAGCGGTCCTACATAGCGCGCGTTGCGCCCGATCGCAGCGTGGCCCTGTAGGCGGCATCTTTTTTCTCTGCAGCTTCCTGGCACTCCTTATCGTACCAGTTGTTCTTTCGGGCTCGCTGAAATCCGACTACTTCTTCGGCGGCGGTACTTAATGAGCGGGAAATGTGGTTCCACTGCTCGCATATGTCGGTTTGTTGAAGAGTGCTCTCTGAGAGCAGGTGTGAGAGTCGAGTAGCGAAAGCGCTGGCTGTCTGTTGTGATTGCAGCTTTTCGACTTTAAGCTTTCCTTGCATATTTGGGCGCACATTTTTTGCTGCACAGAGGCGGGTGCGTATCTTGGCTGCAACAAGATAGTGGTCCGAGTCGATGTTTGGGCCTCGGAGTGTGCGTACGTCTAAAACACTGGAAGCGTGCCTTCCGTCTATCACAACATGATCGATTTGGTATCTCGTTTTTCGATCCGGAGACAGCCAGGTAGCTTGATGGATCTTTTTATGCTTGTACCTAGTACTGCATACTACCATGTTTCGGGCCCCGGCGAAGTCGATCAGCTTCAATCCGTTGTCGGACGTTTCGTCGTGGAGGCTGAATTTTCCGACGGTGGTTCCAAAGATCCCTTCTTTGCCCACCCTGGCATTGAAGTCGCCAAGCACGATTTTGATATCATGACGGGGGCAGCGCTCGTACGTGCGCTCCAAGCGCTCATAGAAGAGATCCTTGGATGCCTCATCCTTCTCTTCCGTCGGGGCATGGGCGCAGATGAGCGAGATGTTGAAGAATCTCGCTTTGATGCGGATTGTGGCTAGACGCTCGTCCACCGGGGTGAACGACAGTACTCGACGACGGAGTCTCTCTCCCACCACAAATCCAACTCCGAATTTGCGCTCCTTTACATGGCAGCTGTAGTAGACGTCGCAAGGCCCCAGACATTGTTTGCCTTGCCCCGTCCAACGCATTTCTTGGATGGCGGTGATGTCAGCTTTTGTCCATACGAGGACATCAACCAGCCGGGCAGAGGCACCTTCCCCATTAAGGGTCCGGACATTCCAGGTGCATGCCCTCAAATCGTAGTCCTTTAAACGTTTGCCGTGGTCGTCATCATAAGGGGGGGTCTCATCCGAGGCTTTGCCTTGCTTCTTCACTGGAAGTGGTTTTTACGTGGCGGGTCCCAAGGCCCAGCGCACAACCCATTGCTGGGACGGGGGTGGTTTCGCAACCAAATACACGTTTATATAGCGAGCCGCTTGCTCCAAGCAGACACCCGCTTGCAGCCGCAGTGAGCCCTTAAACCGAATAAGTCAGAGTGGCCCCACCGAAGCTCCCTCTCTTTCTGCCGTGACCCAAGGCTCCACTCGGATTGGTTACCACATCTCGCACATGGGTTGCTCACGTTGCCCAGAGTGCGCGAACGAGGACGCAAGAGTCGGGATTGAGTATAGCCATGCAACTGTAACTGCATACCCAGCGCAATGACTATACCCCATTGCACTCCAACTAGATGTTGCCAGATTGAAAAATAAAGGTTTGTTTTGTGGCTCAATATCATGTTGCACTTTGTATAAGAAAAAAATTGCCAAAAATGTTTTTGCTTTTACGAATTTTTAAATTTAAAAGTTCTGCAATATCTTTTTGTTTTAAACATATTTTTCCCAATAGCCCCAAATATCAACTTTAAAACGAGAAAAGAGAAATTTTGAACTTTTGAAATTTAAATTTTATTTTTGTCGTTGTCACAACTTCGTCACATGTTAAAAGAAAAGTTCTGACCAAAATTCATCCAAATCAAAAATAGTCGATTCCAACCACTGGTAAATTTGACCTGGATTGACCCATTAGTATATAGTATATACATTAACATCATTAATGAATTTTGTTATATGTATTTCTGTTGCATAAACTAAAAATTTTTGCAAATTAATTTCTTTAATTTTTTTTTCAATTTGGTAATATATATTGAGCTGATGCTTTCTTGCATCATAAGCCTATTAGAGACTTAAAAAAAACTTTCACTATATTTTCAGAAAAATTACAAAATTTCTATTTTTCTTAATGACCTATTCGACTTCATTTCAAATGTAAAAACTCGCTTTACTTGTTGGTAACTAATATTAGGTCTGTTCGATAAGTGCACTAAAAGTATAGAAGTTCTATAGAACAGTGAAATGCAGAACAACAAATTACATGCGTTTTGGACGAGAAAAAAACCCTCATCGAAATTTTTTCTTACATTGGAGTACTCTAGTGCGTTCATCGAAAAAACCTAATATCACAAAAATCCGACGAAACGCCCACAGTGCAATGTTTAAGCTTTAGAGTTGTTTTTGTAAATACAGTGACGTTACACAATGACGTCTTAACCACTTGACCCCTAAATATTAGCCCCACTACCATTGTTAACATTGTAGCACTTGAGTACCAACAATTATTAGTTGACCCTCCCACCCACAACAGAAACACTAGCAAGAGAGTGAAAGAGCGCGAGAAAGATGAACCCATTGTTCTCTGACTCTCCGATGTGTCAGCCTTCGCTGATGGCGCTCCTATGTATGAGTATACTCCCCTATGCTGGCATCCAACAGAAGCTGTATCGGCTAAAAAAGCTCAAGGTAAGTGAATCTCCCGATATATACCACAACGCAGCGCTTTTTTTTTATGCAGCACAAGCCAGAGCAGCTCTACAACTTAGCTCTACTGCTGCCATTGCTGCACATTTTAGCCGAATTTGTTCCTTTTTTGTGTGCGTTTATTTTGCTGGTATGCACAGCCAGCAGCAACAACTTGCGCGACGCATCGCCTCGTTTCGGTTAATTTGTTGAGTTTTTCTTTTTACGACAATGTCGACATGGCGCTCGGTGGTTGTTTCGTCGCCATCGCTGTGGTTGGTCGGTCGGTCTCCAGAAAACTCAGTGTGCTTGAGGCCGATAGTCGCTGGGAATACGCCGCGATGCTAAGACCCGCATACGCAAACGAAGTTGTCGCCGTCGTTAGTGCCGCTATTGTTGTCGTTGTCGTTGTTATTGTTGTAGTCATTTTCGTTGTAGTTGTAACACCCGCTGCCGTCGTCACCGTCGCATTTACTACCATTGGAGTGTGCAAATGAAATAGGAGGAAAAAACGGCAACAGTGGAAAAAGTACATAAACGGCGGTTGGTGAGGGAGTGAGCATAAGAAAGGAAGGAAAAGGAAGTGCAAAATTTTGTGAAAAAGTGCAAGTGGCGGTGAAAGTAAAGCAAGAAGTGGCTATCTTCGTAACCGCCGCAGCCGTCGCCGCCTGCGGGCTGCTGCTGGGCGACTAAACCGCGCTCGCTGCACTCCTGTAATCAACGTTAGGCAAGATTGCGCGAAGTGCAGGAAGGTGCTACCAGAAGCTAGCTACTCATCTCAGCTCAGCTTCACAAAGTGGACGAAGAAGGCTTAACGCTGTCGAAGATCGTTTTCGCAGCTCAATACCGGTTAGCAAGATCGACAGTAGCACGGCTAATGGTCGCGGTGACCATTGACGCAGTGCGTTGCTGCTCGCTCGTTGCTCGCAGCTAATGTGCTTTATGTGGGTGTGTGTTTGTGTGCGACACTAAAATTCTAGTGCAGGGTGAGTTTAACTTTCGTACTATGCCACTTGGAACGTCGTAGCGCAAAAGATGCTCTTGCTCACCTTCTGATATACGAAATCAAAAAAAAAAAAATCTGAAAAATTCCGAGGCCACAAGTGAAAGTTTGTTAAAATTGCGGCGATAGTAAGAAAATCTATAAAAAAATACACATAGAAAGTTGCTGAAGTTGCTTCTTACTGCTTCCAATTTCAATTTGCTTCTTCTATTCTTCCATCTCCTTGGCCATGCAAGCTTCAGCTGGCGAGTAGTGCAGTGCTTCGAAAGTAAAAAAAAAAATGGAAAGATGAAAAGTGACTGCATAAAAGTGCAAAAAATAAATCAAATAAAAAAAGAAATGTAAATCCTTACCATCGCTGCGAAGTGCATAAAATCTTTTGCCACTGAGGCCATTAATGTTAATGACGTAAAGTGAAAATTTCAGTAGCCACCAGCAACCTTTGCGGCTGTCCTCTTCAACTTTTCGAAGCTTCCATTTACCAACACTTTCGTCGACTACTACGTTTTATGTTTTGCCTTTGGCGTATTTTAATGCTGAAGGTAATTAACGAAATC